TGATTTAATAAAAGATCATGCCGAAACTTTAGTCAATTTGATGGATAACGAAAATGATGAAAAAGCATCTGAAGAAAAGATTGAAAATGAGTACGAGAAAAATTTCAAAGAAACCATCGGCGAGACTACTGCCTCACATGAAATTCATCAAACAAAATCCTTCCAACATGAAGAACAGATTAAAACCGCTGACGCCGAAATGATAAAAGAAAGTAATGCCAAAGAAACCACTGACGAAGCTGTTAAGGCGGTTGAAACAACTCTTCAAGATAAGCAAGAGTTAACCGACAAACATGTTAAGATTACTAATATTGAAACAACAAATGAAATTAACCTAAAGGAAACCATTGGAAAAATCAGCAAAGATCTTGAACCAATATCCGTTAGTGATATTCTCCATCCCGAGCTTTTACAACACGAACAAGTACTTGAGAGTGTCGGTGAAGTTAACTCAACATCAAAACATGATATTAATATTGAATTATTCCAGCATGAGCAGGTGTCGGTAGAGGATGATGTTGAACCAACACCAACCGTTGGCATTCCTTATGTAGAGTCGTCTCAACATGATCAAAAGTTAACGGAACAAACTAAGGCTACTGATACTGAAATAATCGATGAAAGTGCTATTAAAGAAACCAGTGAAGAAATCAATGCAGTTAACGTTTCACATATGGAGCCCTTACAGCACGAACAAGATTTAACAGTGGAGAATATGGAGTCCTTACAGCACGAACAAGATTTAACAGTGGAGAATATGGAGTCCTTACAGCACGAACAAGATTTAACAAGGGAGATTATGGAGTCCTTACAGCACGAACAAGATTTAACAAGGGAGAATATTGAAATTACTGATACATCTGCCATTGATGTACCTTATCCTGGGTCCTCCCACCTAGAACAAGAATTAATCAAAGAACAAGTTAAAGTTACCGACATTAAAAAGACAGAAGAAAGTGCTACTGGATTATCATCCGCTATTGATGTTCCTTATACTGAACCCAATAAAGAGTTGGTTGAAGACCAATTTAAAACTGCCGATATTGAACCGATAGGAGAGATCCCTAATGAAAATGTCGTTGAGCGTGAAAGTGGACATCCTGTAATTGACACTCTACCGTTCGGGGCACCTGAAAGTAGTGTAACAGCTAACATAACTTTCCCCTCAGGTGTT